CATGAAAATAATTTTCGTGGATTCAGTCGATGAACCGAAAGGATTCACAAACATGCACTAATACTTTTAATTGCTGATAGTGCATTTCAGCAATACCAAGTGACTTTCACTATGCCTTGTACTAAACTGATTAGATTCTGATAGGAGGTACAAATAAGAAAGAGACAGATAGTTTGTAGAGAATTTTCTCTGCAGAAAACCTTCTTATGAACGATAGAAAAAGGCCTGAGAATTTCGAAAAAGTATGAATTGTCTGATGTCTACTTTTGTTTTCTGTATGTTGCCAGAAATCTGTGAACAGTTAACTATGGATTATTCAACACTTATAAACACGCCGTCAGATTTTGAATGTTGGTGTGGAACATCTGAATGTCGCCATCGACTGAAACCTGATGAATACAAAGAAAAATGGTTCCAAGATCGCTATGGTTCACACGTCAGTCCGTACATACAAATGTTGATTCAAATTAAGAAGATCAAAAATAATAATTAATCGAATTACTGTATAGAACAACAAAGATTTCCAATGTCAACTGAAACTCTTTAGTCACATTAAACCAGCTGTAATAATATTTTGTTTTTCAATGTTCTAAATAAAGATAAATCTTTTTTTTAATGAAGCATTTGATATAGTGTCTTATTGGCGCATGTAAGATGATCATAACCTACACTCTAAAGAAAATGAAATGTTTTAAAATAAAATGATCGAAGTTCAATTGAAATAGAATCAAACAGTCGTTGTATTTCTGCGTATCATATAGTTTCTAACATTCGACAGTAGAATGATTGAAAAAGAATAAAAGAGAACTACTCATACGTTACCGCATTATATGACCTAACTGGTAACTGTTTTGTCATGAAATCATTCTCATGTTCCATCTATGTCTATAAAGAACCGTTCAGAAAAGCCTCATAGAATATGAATTCCACAAGATATCCAATGGGTAATATAATAAACCTAATATTAAATATTTTCAAAGATAGAGCTATATTGTTTGAATAATATATTAGCAAAGGAGCGATAAAGGTGACGGTAAAATACTATAAGGGACTTGATAAGTAGATCAGACTTCGAGCTATTCATGTGATATACATGCTTCATGAAAAATAATACTATGATTCATGATTGTACAATGTAGCCGATAAGGAGAACACATCTTGAAGTCTTTCGCAAAGTAGGTAACCCATAAATGATCAGAAAAACACAGGAATGTCGCGAAGAAAGAAAAATGATGGAGGTCAACGATATTTCGAAAATTTCTTAAAAAAGCTTGTTAACGCAGTCTCGTGGGGTCTGAAATCTGAAACTCACATATCTTCTTTAGTTTCATTGTACTAATGACAACAGAAGATAGTCCTCTTCTAATGATAATCGATTGTCAACAAATGCTATCTTCTGTATTTCTCTACGTCGAACAGAAATTTTTCTTCTTTTGACTGGAGTTGCTATAGGGTCTGCATGAAGAGGATGGGAGAGAAGGGAAGAGCGAAACTTGACTTTTACACTTACACTCACTATTTTCTTCAAAAAATATATGTGAGTTTCATAGAATTTCATAAATTATTGAGTAACAAACGAAATTTCTGCAGATTGAGGGTAGGTCTCCGACATCCGTTCGCGACCATATTGGAAAAACAATTTACTAGAATATCGTCCTTGATACTATACACAGAAAAACTATTTATAAGGATAAGTTTCAAAATGAATTATCTACGCATCTACTGAAATGTAAGCGGTTATGGAAAACCTGCATATTCAGTTGGATACAGTTCACTGCGTTATGCTTGTAAAAAGAATAAGAACTCTGAAAGAGATTCATAGACGAAAATGAATAAGTTTTAATCGAGTTTACAGCTGACATTATCTGCGTGTTCTTACACATTTGAATTAGTCATAGGAATGAATATCCTAAATACTGATTTGATTCGAAAAATTAGCATTGATATCAGAATGAATTTTTCAAAATATGTTTATTAAAATTCATTTTTATATTTTATGTTGTTTATCCACTAAATATACAAAGTGAAATAACTCTATACGTCATCATATTTACTCAAAAGTTACATGATCTTCATCAATGTGTGAGTAAAACCTAATCATTAAAGTCGTGACAAAAAAAAAAAGAATGCAAATTGTTTTGTTAGTAATCTGATATATGCATACCTTTTCTTTTTCATGAAATATTCTCGAAAGTAGAATATTGATTATATTCAAAAAAACAAAAATACGTATTTCCTTGTCCATATAAATATGTAGTTAAAAAAAGCAATAATGACATCTATTGATCTTTGTACAGTTCTAAATTTTTTTTTTTCTTTTTTTCTCACATCGGTCAACGTCCATAAAACACATGTTGACCGAAGTGATAGAAAGAACAATTTAGTACTCAACCTACGTACGTATATATAAAAGAATGAAAAAAAAAAAAAGAAAGAAAATAACATTTTCGAGAAAAGAAAAATCAGCAAAATGAACTCGTGCTGAATCTCATACAGGTGAGATAAAGATGAAAAATAAAACGTATAGATGCCTTTCTATTATAACATCCATGATAGAAGACAAAAGAACGTTTGTTTCTCTCATGTAATCTCCATTACGGACAAGAAATGAAAAAAAAATCTTACTAATGATCATACGTGTTGAGATCATACTTTATGTTTTTTTTTTCTTCTTCTTTCTCATTCAAAGCTAAAATTGTTCGAGGTTATGACATAAGTTCATATTTCTTATAAAACCAATACATTTCTTTTCTCTTTTCTTCTTATTTGCTTTATGCATACATACGCTTTTATATATATATGTATTTTTTTTTCTTTTTTTTTTTGTTCAGATCATTTATTCTTTTTAATAGCACATTATATGAATCGATTGTTGGGCAACAAACGACGAGCATCATTTGATGTTAATCAACGTCCATTATCATTTAAAGTTTATTATTTAGGAAATGTAGCAACATCATTAACAAGAGGTGATGGTTGTGCTGATCGACCAGCTAAAATTCTTTGGGATATGCATATAAAAAATCAAGGACGTTTAGGAAGAAAACTTCGTTTAACGATTACAAATGGTGGTTTACAAGCAGACAGTTATACGAAAACAGGAGCAACAAATGATATTACTCTTTATTGCACAAATCGTATTGCATATTATTTTATTGCTGATAAGCTTAATTCAAAGATGTTTATTTGGGTTTATAGACATGTTAATGTTCGATCAGGTTTAACAACAGAGGTGAGATGAAACTTATGAAAGAATAAATATTATTCAAATTGTTTCTTTTTTTCAGCTTCGTTGCCATGCATGTTTATGTTCAAGTGAAAATGATGCTAAATCTCTGAGTGAATTACTTCATCATCATTTACAAGATTCTCTACGTGAATATGTACGTGAAAAACATCGTCGTCAAATAAGTCGATTATCTATAACATCATCATCAAATTTATCAAATCTAACAAGTATAGATAAAACGATAAATGAACCACCTAAACGTTTATTGACTCGAAGTCAAGCATCAAATTATCGACCATCATTAGCTCGTTCCATGTCAAATATTGGTCTTGGACGTATGGATGATATTGAAGAGAATGATGATGAATTAACCAGTGAAACACCAACAACAATGTCAACATCATCTACATCTTCTATTGATTTAATAGCATCGAAATTTACTGATTTAAATACAGATAAAAAAATGAAATTGTATGCACATGCACTATCTGATATTCTGTGAGAATAAATCTATAGGAAAGGAAAATATATATATATGTGTATATAAATATTTGCAATCTCATCATCATTTTTTTTTGTTCTGTAACTAATTATATAGAAACTTAATCAACAATATAACCACACCAAACTTTTCATTTGATCGACGAGAACAAACATTCAAATCGTGCGCACAGAGTCAACATTTTTCTTCTTTTGTACCTATATATATATATATAATAGTGAAGGATGATAAAATGAACTAAATGTTGTATTCATTTTCTTCCTTTCTTTTTTTCTTCCTCTTCTGCATTTATTGAACTTTGTTCTATGTGCGACAAACATCCCTATTTGACTATCAATAGATAGGCGTGCGAGGATGTGAACACGCATGCTTTTTTTCCCTTTTTTTTTAATACTGCTAGTCCACGATGATTATGATAGGAGGATGAAATATGTTTTTTTCTCCTTTTTTTTTTATTGTAGAAGAAAAATAAAGTAATATGCAAGGTACATTTCGATATCCCGATGGATCTGAATACACAGGTAAAATAAAAATTAAATTAAATCCAATAAAGAAAAATATATAATTTTTTAAAGGCGAATGGAATGAAGATGGTCAAAGACATGGTCTCGGTCAATTAATATTTAATGATCAAGCAAAATATCGTGGTCGATTTGAAAATGGTCTTTTTTCTGGTCTTGGTTCAATATATTATCCTGATGGATCAAAGTAAGCATTATAATCACACCCAAAAAAAAAAACAAACAAAAAATAATTTTCTTTTCTATCAGATATGATGGTGAATTTTCTCAAGGTCGTTTTCATGGTTTAGGTGTTTTTACACGTTGTGATGGAATGAAATATGAAGGACAATTATATGAAGGAAAAATTTTTGGTTTAGGTCTTTTGACATTTGCTGATGGATCACATGGTTTACCACGAAATGAAGGACATTTTGAAAATAATAAATTAATACGACGTGAAAAATGTCCTGATATTGTACATAAAGCAATAGGATGTGCTGAACGTGCAAAATCTCAACATATTTAAATTTATATTTTGACTTTGAAAATTTTTTCTTTTCTTTCTTTTTTTTGTGCAATAAATTTTGCAAAAAAAATAAAAAAAAAAATATCAATGTTTATATTACATTTATATTTATTTATAATTGTCCTTGTTGAATAACAACGATTCATTCATGCATAAAGTCTATGTAGGTGTATGATTCAAGTTTGCATAAATTATCTCGCGTCGAATAAAAATATCTCATTTGAAAATAATTTTATAATAATGTTATTAGCATTTCAAAGTTTACAAGAAAAATCAACAGTTAATGAAACAAATGAATCACAATTACAAATACATAGTAAAATTTTATCTAGAGAAGAAGAATCTCCACAAAAATCGACTGTAATATTTAATGGTGAAATAAATAAACAAGAAAAATTCTTAAATGAAATTGATAATAATTTAAAAAGAAGTCGCCAAATGGAATTAGCTCATAATCGTTTTATTCAACAATGCCTTCGAGGTGAAGTAACCTCCCTTTTTTTTTTTTTTTTTCTTTATACCCTGAATACGAGGTCATTTCTTATCGATTTTGTATTATACACAAAAGAAAAGAAGGACAAATGCTTTAAGTAAACGCACTGGATAGATATAATATTATCTCTGATACAATATGTCATCTATATATTCCACAAGAAGTTCTAACCGATTTTTAGAGGCAACATTAGCTAGACGATATCAACGACGTCAACAACGATCATCTACTTCAAGTAGTAATAATTCGTACGTAGAAAATAGAAAACAATATCAATATTTCTATTAAATAAACTATGTTTCTAGATTTAATATAGATAGAGTATTACAAGATGATGATAATGATTGGCTTTTTGAAAAGATTTTAGACAAATTTGAAAATATTCGTTTAAAAAAAGCTAATCGACGTATAAAATCTCGGTAAATATTATTAAAAATAATTTTTTAAATAGAAAAAAAAGAACAATAGCTTTTTCTTATTAGATCAAATGTTTTTAATAATGATATTGCCTATGGTCTTGAACGTATTATTGAACGACGTTATTATGTTAGAAAACCACAACAAATATCAAAACGTAATCAATTAACATCAACAGATGATTTAAAAGAATATATAAAAAAACCTCGACAATTATCAGGTGTATCATCAGTAACAGTTGATACAGCACTAACATCAAATTCTCAATATACATCAACAACACCAACATATCTTGAAGAAATTCATAATCAATCAAATTTACTTCGAGATGAAATAAGTGAATTAAAAGATGAAATTGAAAGACTTCAAACATCACAACAAGATTTTTTTGAACAACTTAAATTACAATTTCAATCAAATAATATAACTCCTACAATAAAAACAAAAAATTTAGGTATATATATATATATGTTATTTATTCTTTTAAATTAAATATTTATTTTTGAAATTAAGTTCCATCAAAAACTTCATCACGTAAATCATCATTAGAACAAAAACCATTATTTTCAAATATACCAATACGTTCAACTAATGGTCAACGATCTAATTCACCTTCACATGAATCTATAGCATCATCATCATCTACAAGAGTAACAACAGCAAATTCAGACTTAACTGTTGAACCAACTAGTGGATCTACTCTTGTTGTAAGATTTTCATTTTTCAATTCTATACAAAAAAAAAAAAATTCTTTTGTTTTTGTTAAAGCCACTCAATGTAACTGTAGCACCAGTACCACCAATATCTGAATTTATTGCAACAAAAAATCCAACAATTCCATCATCATCATCACCATCATTACTAGTAAATGGACATATCAATTCAAAACTTTCATTAACTACACCAACATCATCGATATCAGAATTTATAGCAACAAAAAATTCATCAACATTACCATTAAAAATACGTGTTCATTCAAAACCTTCATCAAATGCATCAACATCAGGAATTTCTGATTATATTGAAACAAAAAATACATCTGTTGTATCACCATCCAATGGATATATTTCTTCAAAATTTCCATCAGTACCAATAACATCACCTATAAATGCACATGTTGATTCAAAATCTTCATCAACTACATCAACATCACGTATATCTGAACTTGTCGAAACAAAAAATCAAACCTATTTATCAACATCAACAGTAAATCGATCTGTTAGTTCAAAACCTTCATCAGTTCTACAATCATTAAATACATATAGTGGTTCAAAACTTACATCAATTACAACAACATCACCAAGAAGTGTACAAGGTGATTCAAAACGTTCATCAGCTACATCAACACCACAAATTTCTGAATATATTGAAACAAAAATTCCAATCTTTGTATCATCATCAAAAATAAATGAATATGTTAGTTCAAAACCTCCATCAGTACCAACAACACCACCAATAGTTACATATGCTAATTCAAAATTTTCATCAATTACATCAACACCATCACCAACAAGTACATATGCTAATGTAAAATCATCATCTATTCAACCAACATTACCAATAAATACATATTTTGATACAAAACCTTCATCAACATCACCTTTATTTGAATTTATTCAAACAAATAATCCACTTTTTGTATCAACATCAAAAGTAAATGAATATGTTAATTCAAGACCTTCATCAACATTACCAATTATTGAATTTATTTCACCTGAAAGTCCATCAATGGAAACAGGATCATCAGTATTTGTTCCAGTAGAATCTGTTGGTTTACAAACTCCACCATTAATACCAAATTCACCAATATCATTTACATCAATGACATCTGATCAAATACCAGTATATGATAATGAATTAGAACAACGACGTGTACTTTCACCTCGTTCTCAAATTGTTGCATCATCAATACCAAATCATCATGAAACATCAGATTCATCACCAGGATGGAGTAGTCCAGAACCTAATCATCCAATACATTCTGAGGTTTATTTAATTGAATAATAATAAAAATACAACGTATAATTTTATTTTTTGTTAGGTTCCTTTAGCAGCATTACAAGATCAAGATCTTCAAGCTTTAATTCAATATAGTTCACAACTTGAAATATCTGGTTTTCCATCATCAATAACTCATGTTATAGCTAATCCAAATACTAGTAGTACATTTTGGGAAGCAGTTGATGAATTTCTTGACAATTATAAATTAACAACTACAGATGTACAATTACAACCAATATCACAAATAAGAAATACAAATAATAGATATGTATTTGATAATAATATAACAAGACAATTAGATAAATATAATCTTGAAATAAAACCACAAGAAATTATTGAATCAAGTGCACCTCTTCTTATGCCACCTTTAGATATTTCATAATAATTTATAATTATTAAAAACAAAAAAACAATTTTTTTTTCCTTTATTTAGCTATAAACATTTTCTTTTTCTTTTTTTTCTTCATTAATTAATAAATGAAATAAATTTTTTTGTTTTTTCTATCTAACATATTTATTTTAGATAATAATAAATTTAATATTATATCACAATTATTATAATAAACGAAAATAATATAAAAAAAAACTATTTCTTCGTTTTGTTTTTTCGACTAAAACTTTCATATTATTACTAAGAGAATCATTGGATTTATCTATAAGGAAAAATTTTTAGATTAAAACTTTATAATTTAAGTTTTTAGATAGTATTTACAAAAGAAAACAAAAATCAAGTAATTCGGTGTTAATCGATCATTAGGGATGAATTCTTTTAATCTTATATTAATCTCATTTTAAGATCTTCTTTTGGGATTAATAGCACGTATCAAGTTCGAATAGTTCCCTTGTTAGAGAAAATAAATTTTAGAATCGTTTTCTACATATTAAATATTCATATTTTCATTAACTAACAAGGTAACTTTTCTAAGTATCAAATTGTTTTTCAATTAAGATAATGTTTATCTAATAAATAATAGAGAAGCTTGACTTTTTTTTTTTTTTGTTTCTTAAAATATCGAAATTTTACATCTCCTATCTCGATATATTCTATATATATATATGAGATTTTTTTTTATGTGTCAAAGTAAAACTTGTTGATATATTTATATATCTAGAAAGAAAATATCAAAGAAGTTAATCTCATTAAGAACTTTGTTTATACAAAGTTTAAAGTCCAAAGTCAACGGTCTATGTGACCTAAAGAAGATCATAGCTTTATTATTGTGAAAAAAAAAGAACAAATTTCAATATTTCAAGAACAATGATCTAAATCATTCTTAAACTTTAATATTACTTTCTAGCACTCATTAATTAAATAAACATTATTTCGTTCGTAAAAAAGAAAAAAAAAGGTGTTTTAACGTCTAGAGAGGTTTATTCTACTAACTGATGCATATAACTTTTTTGTTTTTATTGTTATTTTTTTTTGTCTGAAATTTTCTTTGATTGATTTAGTTTCTAAAAATATCATTAAAAAATTTAATTATAATTTTTCAATTATGAATTCAAACAATATTTTTTCCCTTCTTTTCTTAGACGATTCGATAAAGCTTTGACACATCTCATGTCAATTAAAGTAAATTAATATCATTCTGCATATATTAAATAAACACATTATAATATATTCATAAAATGAATATCTTATCGCCAATTAATAATAGATAAATATTTACGTACAAAATTTCGTAGAATAAAAACTTCTTTTTTTTTTGGATATTGAAAAGAAAAGTTTTTTTGACATCAATTTAAAAGAAGAATTAAATGAGTAATAGGATACAGATGTTCTTACTTACAATACATATGTGTACTAGAAAAAAAGAAAAAAGAAGTAAGTACTCAAACATATAAACATAGTCTAATGATGATTGAATAGCAGCTTGTATAGGCGATGATGTCGTTGACAAACGACGACCGACCTGTCACTCAGTATTCTATGGTGGCCGTTCGATCTATCTATCACATTTTGTTCTTGTTGATGACGAAAGCCATTGTATATATACATATATGGATATGTTAGCTCCAAAAGGCATTTTCTAATAAGCTTAACATCACTAGCTTGATCGCCATATAAGAACAATTATGACGATAACAGTATGGTGTATTGAATATCACTTGGCCGACTGAGTATCGTTTTTCTTTTTCTTCTGCTTCTAATCTAGATAAATAAACGTTATTCGCTCGGGTGATGTTTGTAATGATGCATCCAGCTGTCTAGTAGTATCTTTTCTGCATATTCATTGATGTATCGTTAATAAGTATCCTAGCTAGATGTATGTATTAGATAGTAGCACGTAAGAAAATCCTTGGTAGGTGGCATCTATTTTCCTAATCATCATATCTTTCTTTTTTTTTTTCTTTTTGTTCAATATAGTTTTCTTTTTTTTTTGTTTTGACATCTGATGACATGATTGACATTTAAGACGAACGAGATGAGAAATAAAGAAGAAAAAAAAAAAAAAAAACAACAACAACAAAAACATTCTTAATTTGGTCAAGCAAAGATTTACTCATCGAAGGTTAACTTGTAATAAGTATAGTGTGTCAGTCTTGTAGGAAAGCATAGACAAGTTGCCAACGCTCGGTACGGTAATTTGTCATCACCTATCTATTTCGTAGTAGGACAAAAAAAAAGAAGAAGGATGCATGTGCGCTGGTTCCAGAACATATATATATGCGTGTGTATAAGCTTACAACTACTACCACCATTACCCAAAAAAAGACATGCATAAACAATTTTCTTCTATGATTCGTTTGGATAGAGATAGAAACGTAATTAAAGAGAGATTTCTATGGCCTCAGAAAAAAAGAGAGTAAGATGGCGCACACACACCCGCAGAAAACAGAGAGAGAGAGACAGAGAAAAATAGAATGTACAGATAATGTTCGATCATTAAGCAAAAAAGAAAGAGAGAGTTCTACTTGTCGACGATAGAAAAAAAAAAAAAAAAGACTTGTTCGTATAGCAAGAAAACGTAAGAATACATTGACCTTTACATACTCAAAGATCAGTAATCATTTATGTTTAATTATATTTTTTTGTTTAGATTTTTTTAAAAAATACATTATGGGTATTCTTACTGGTCGAGAAGAAGCTCTTAAATTAGTAGCTGCTGCTGATTTTGCATTTATTGGTCCTTTAACTGATTATGCAAGAGGTTTGTATCTTAGACAAATAAAATTCTCATTATATTAAATGTACTTAGGTATGTCAACACGATCTTTACCACCAACAAATCATTATACACTTGAATTTGATAAATTTGATCAAGTACGTGGTTCACCAATTGAACATGAAGAACCCCATTTTCATTATATGCAAACAGGTAGTGGTGGTCAGATATCTGATCCAAAAACTCATAGATTAGTACCAGCACCTGAACCATTACGACCAAGAATTGGTCAACTCTATTTGGCTTTACTTAATGAACCACAACAAATAAAACAACTTGTTGAAATAACTCAAGATGATGTCGACGCAATCAAAAAGGTAGCAGCCCAACCGAAGCCTCATTAAACAAAAAAAAGAATAATGAACGAAAGAAACAATTTTTAACCCTTTTTTTTTTGTTTTTTTTAATCTTATTCTTTTTCTCTTTTTTGTTAACCACCCATATTTGATAAAAAAAAATATCGATCATTTTTATTGATAAAACAAGATTTATATAAAACAAAACTTCTAATACTAATAATAGGTATATATATATATATATAATTGTCTCAAAAAGAATAAAAATTTGTATAACAACTACCAAAAAAAAATGAAAATAAATTTAAAAAAAAATAAAAATAAATAATATAAATTTTTTCCATATTATTTGATTAGAATTTAATTGTATTTTATTTCGTAATGGAATAAATATATATTCACATCGAATATCTTTACATGTATCACTTGCATTACGTGCACCTAATGGACATGTTATTAATTGATTTGGTAAACCAGTATAATAATCACGATTTATACATAATTCAATTTCTTCTAATTCACATTTAGAATTACAAATAATTATTGCTGTTTGATTAAAAATTGATAAAAGATAAGTTAAATTAATTTTTTTTCCAGCATTATATTGAATATACTAAAGAAAATAAAAAAAACAAGTCGATTCTAATCGAAACATAGATTTATATAAAAATTTGATTTGATTTTTTTTTTTCATATGAAATCTTTTAATATACAATTATAGTAAATAATCAATATATGTTTCGTTTATTTATTTTTTTTTTTTTAATAAATTACATAACCTAGAAAAGTCATGTATAATATACTTTCTATCTATATGTTCTCGTCATTTTCAAGTTCAGACAAATATATATATATATGAATTATCTTTACAACAAATGATGTCTATAAAATGATTCATATCATGAGATTAAGCATAAAATAACATTACAATTATTATTTATTAATTAATATCGAAGTAACTTCTATTAATTTATAGTGGAATCTTAGTGCATTTGATATAGTATATGATATCGATTAATTAATCAATTAATGAGAACTTAGAACAGATCATTTTATATATATATATGATATTCTATGGAAATTTGAAGAAGTTTCTAAGTAGTTAACAAATTAGATGTGATATTATTAATGGTTATCACAGTCAGATATGTTATTGTAATATACTATGAAAATAATTATCAAAATTTAGGTCAACAAGAGAAGAGCTAGTCCTTCAAATGACATTTATTGTTAACAATATCAGACAAAGTAATATATGTCAACTTTTATATGACAACCCCGGTTATTATCTATCATACAGTGGCTTTTATAGGAACTAATAATACTACCTATATTACTGAGAAATGTTTACATTCACAAATAAAAGAAAAAAAACCTATCAAACAATAAAAATTCAACAAAGTCTAGTTATATTAATTTCTATCATGAGAGGTTTTTTTTGAAAAACATATAAAATAATTTCATGATAAAAGAAATAAAATTAAAGTTCGTGAAATATATTCAAATTGAATTAGACTTTTACTCTTTTAGTTATTGAAGAGATCAATTCAATATCTATTTTTCTTGCAACACAAGGAAGACAACCATAAAAATAGAGCTAATGTACCCTCAGTATGCTCATACTATAGCTAAAACGAAGCATCTTGTTCTTCCTCTAGAATTACACAATGTCCTTTATCAGAAAACTTGCACCTTCAAAAAATCTGAACAAAAGGAATTTCGATCTGAAATTTCGCCCTTAATCAGTTTATATGATCCTTAAATTTTCCGTCAAAACAGATGTTTTATTGTTGAAATATTGAACACAGAAAAAAATCGGCAACATTTTGCAAAAAACTCACAAAATCCGACTTCTCTTCAACATGCCGTATTTCCAAGAGTAAACAACAATGGTTGATAATATAAAATGGCATATCAGT